CCTATTGTAAATGATTTCATAGTTAACGCTGTGAAACAATGGTTTTTAAAATACAGACATTTGCTTAGTCAATCTGTCATGAATGAATTGTTGGGTATTCTACAAGTGATATTTCCACAATTAGCAAAAGACTCGCAAACTCTTTTAAAAACACCAAGTTCATGTCCATATGAACTTAAAAGTGTTCCTCCAGGTTTCTATTGTCACATTGGCATAGAGAATGGACTACGTAGGATAATTAATAATAGTTTAAATATGCAAAAACATTTGATGCAAAATGTAGAAATAGCATTACCTCTTAACATAAACATTGATGGTTTACCGATATCTAATTCTTCAAAAAGTCAACTCTGGCCTATTCTTATCTCCATAGATCTAAATCTGGTTGATAAAAATATTAAAAAACCTTTTGCGGCTGGGATATATCACGGACACAAGAAACCAGCCTATGTAGACCAATTTTTAACTGAGTTTATAACAGAGTTCAAACATTTAGAACAAAATGGTTTTAACATAAATAAAAAAATAATAAAAGTAAAGGTTGGTAAACTTCTTTGTGATGCTCCTGCAAAATCATTTATTTTATGTATTAAAGGTCATACAGGCTATAATGCCTGCACAAAATGCATTCAAGAAGGGACCTTTGTTAATGGAAAAATGACTTTTTTACAAACAAATGCACAATTGCGGACTGATTTCAGTATCAGAAATAAATTAGATGAGGAATTCCATAAAGATACAAGTCCTTTCGAAAAGCTAAATATTGGTTTCGTATCTCAAGTTCCTCTCGATGGCATGCATCTTGTATTTCTAGGCGTAGTTAAAAGATTAATTATGTTTTGGATAAGAGGGAAAAAAAATCATCGTTTACCCGAGACTGATAAAAATGATATTAATAATCAATTATTGTTTTTGAAGAATTATGTGCCGAAAGATTTTCCACGCTTGCCAAGAAGTTTAGAGGACATTGAATACTATAAAGCCACTGAATTAAGGCAATTTTTATTATACACCGGACCAATTGTTTTAAAAAAGATTGCAAACAAAAATATATACACAATTTCATGGCCTTATCCTGCGCTATTCGAATTTTATGCAGTCCTGCATTATACAGAGTTTATAATAATTATTCATTGAAACTACTCGAATACTTTGTTCAAAAATATGCAATACTTTACGGAAAAGAATATATTACTCATTGTTTAGGATTCAGAAAAATTTGCCGCGCTCGATCGAACGAAAATTCACGAACAGTCGAGAATTTAAGTGAAAGCAATTGCCGCGGGCCTAACACGGCAGCACCTCGCGGCACGCACCGCGGGAAGCGCCGCGGAAGCAAATTTTCGGCCAATTAGCGCGTTCCGCGTGTACCCCTCGCGATCAGGCGGTCGATAGCGTGATCGATGAGGGTAGCATTCCGTCGGAGACAGTCGTCGTGGAGAGAGAGCCGGCGTTGGTCGCAAGTCAGACCAAAGACTTCGCCTTACGGTGTAATAAGTGCGTGAATGTATTATCGCGACAAATACGAACAGATTTGCGCGGTATTGTGTGACATATCGAGAGTGAAGAGTTAACGGGTAATCGGATCTCGTTCGCGACGCAACATACACGTTCTCGCGACGAATTCGCCATTGTCTCGTGCATGCTACGTGCACGTGATCGAACATTACGAGTATTCGGATCCTGCTGGAGGATTCACTGCGATATTCGCGTATCGGTGAATGCATGTCGTGCATTCTCTCTCTCGCTCGTTCTCTCTCTCTCTCTCTCTCTCTCTCTCTCTCCCGCGCTCTCTCTCACAATTGTCGTAGTACGCCGTCGCGACGAACTCGCCGTCGTATTGTGCACGCTGCGTACACGTGATCGACTCCTGCGAATATTCGAATCCTTCTGGAGGATTCTGTGTGATAGTTAATTGCATATAAATGCACGTGATCGAACATTACGAATATTCGGATCCTGCTGGAGGATTGAATGTCACATAATTGAAGACAATTATTAAGTCGCGTCAAATCATATGTGCGCGTGTTCGATAAATTATAACGGTCGTCCACAAGAGGACAAATTTGTTGTTGTACGATTCGCGATCGTGACTTTCAAATAAGACATTGTTTTCTCTTGCGACAAAAAACATTGGTGTCGATATCGAACAAACAGTTTTTTCTTTTGTGATCGCGAGCTTCGAAACGTGTACAGCAAACGCTTTCGATTCTCATATCGAGTTTTTGTTCTTTTTTCTTTGATTTGTTTGTGTCAAGTCCAGGTGACTTTCTGACATGTGAAATAATAAATTGATCTGTTTTTGTTCATCAACTTCAAGACTTCTTTTCAATTCGGCTTCCTACGTAAATCATCAATCTCAGCGCACACATGGGTGCGCGATCACCCTATTAAGATACAGTCCACTCAACAATTATCCTATTGTCCATCCATCACATCTCTCATGAGATTCCTATGATTTCTTTCCAATAAAAAAAAAAAAAAAACGGGTGAAGGATTTGAGAGGCGGCGCGCGAGACGCGGCCCTAAAAAGGCCGAGCATGCTCGTTCGCCGCAGCTTCGCGTCGGACCACGGTTCAAGCCGCGCGTTCGCAACATTTGGTCCTTCGAGCCGGATTTGAGATTGGTGACGAATTGAAAAGTGAAAAACTCAAGTAAAAAACACAGTGACATTGCAAGTACATTCAAAATCGGACATCATCAAACGCTATCAGTGCATTCAAAGAGAGTGACAGCTCGGTTCGTAAAAGACTAATTTGATTAAATTCAGTGTCGTTGAAACCTCAGTTGATTAAATTCAGTGTCAAAATGGAAGAAGCTCTCGCAAATCAACAAACTGCTTGCTATTCAGTTGCTCGAGCTCTCGACAATTTTAAGAAGATCGGTCGGTCAAATCTGACGGCCGCCAAAATTCGCTCGCGAATGACGAGCTTACAAGACACGTGGACACAATGTGTACGCAATCACGCGACACTGCTGCAGCTTGTTCCTGACGAGAAGCAAGTTTCAATTCACTACTTCAAAAAGGAGACCTTCGCCTTCCACGAGGACCTCTATCAGGCAGCTATGGACTACATGAACGAGTGCTTGGAGGAGCTGGTTCCAGTCGTAAGTCGTGAAACCTCTTTCAACGCTTCGTTCGCGCATACAGACTCTGCGTCATTATCGGTCAAACATCTTCCTCCCATCAAATTGCCGCCGTTCACCGGTAAGATTGAGGAGTGGGAGACTTTTCGCGATCGGTTTCAATCGCTTATTATAGACAATCGCGAATTATCGAACTTCAGTCGCATGCATTTTTTAGTGTCAAGTTTAACAGGCTCAGCTCGCGATGCGATATCAGGTATTAAAGTCACCGCGGATAACTTCTCGGTTGCGTGGAAAGCATTAACAGCGCGTTTTGAAAATAAGCGCCGATTAATTGAGACTCACATTTCGAATTTGTATAATCTTCCGAAAATGACTCGTGAGTCAGCTGTCGAGCTTCACGCCTTACGCGATAAAGCCGAACAAGCGATCTCAACATTGCAACGTCTTAATCGTTCGCCGGACGATATAGTCAGCGACATGTTAGTTTATTTTCTCTCTCAGAAGTTCGATCCCGCCACGCGCCGTGCGTGGAAGTTAAAAACGAGCGATATCGAAAATCCGCCAACATACAAAGAAGTATTAAAATTTATTTCGTCGCGTGCTCTCGCGTTAGAGGAACTTCACCCTCGCGATAACGACAAGACCAAGTCACATGCGAAAGTGACTAGCGCAACAGCGACTGCGTCATTTAATATAGTGTGTTCAATGTGCAAGCAATCGCACATTCTCTCAAAATGTCCGCAATTTGTAGCAAAGAGTCCGATTCAGCGACGCGAATTGGTTAAGAAATTTCGACGATGTTTTAATTGTTTGAGTGATAAACACATGTCGATCAATTGTCAAAGTAATTTCACATGTCGAACATGTAATAAACGACATCATTCTATGATTCATCTCGATTCGGACTCATTGCAACAAGTTACAAATGCGAACAATACGTCAAACGCGAATGACGTCATCGACAACGTGCCTAACGTTACGGCACTCTCATCAGTTACAATGACAACTGCGCCGACTCCTGTTGTCTTATCTACTGCAAAGGTGAATTTGCAGGCGCCTTCTGGACGCTCATTGGTTGTCAGAGCCTTGATTGACGGTGGATCAGAGCTCACGTTTGTGACGGAGCGCGTTGCTCAAATATTACGTCTCAAGCGTATACGAACGCTTACTTCAACGTCGGGAATAAGCTGCGCTGACACCGGTACATGCCGATCTGCGGCTCTGATTCACATCACTCCTCGCAAAAAATCGAAACCAAGGTTCACAACGGTTGCCTATATTATGAAGGCATTAACGAGGTATGCTCCCAGAAACGCTTCGCAATCGCAAGATTGGAAACATATTTCCAATCTGGAATTGGCTGACGATGATCCTACCGGATCAACACCGATTGATCTCATAATAGGATCCGATTTATATAATCACGTACTCGTTCACGTACGTAACGGACCGCTCGGTCAACCAGGTGCAATTGAATCGCATTTCGGATGGATCCTATCCGGAACAACCTCTATCCCGAATCACGTGACACAACCCTCTCATGTGGTAACTTCAACTCTCGTAATTCCGCCTGTTGAGGATGCGAGTCGCGTCGTGCAATCAGCTCAGTTAAATCAACGTTACAGTGTTGTCGCTCATTGTTGTTCTCTCGAAAATCAATTGTCTAAATTCTGGGAGGCAGAAGAAACACCTCAATCAATTGAAATGTCCCAGATGACGAACAATGCGAAGAACATTTCAAACAAACGCATTCGAGAACATCGGATGGGAGATATATCGTGCGTCTGCCGTTTCGAAACGGCCCACCCATCGAAATCGGTGAATCTCGCGAAATAGCCGCGCGTCGGCTTTCGTCGTTACTTCGGAGAATTAATAATCAACCTGCGATTAAGCAGGAGTATGCTGAATTCATGAGCGAATACGCACAGTTGAATCATATGAAAGTAATCGCACCGGTGGATTCAGTAAATTCACAAGTCGTGTACATCCCTCATCATCCGGTCATTCGAGAGACTAGTTCGACAACTCGGTTGAGAGTCGTATTTGACGCCTCATGCACAACCTCTAACGGTACCTCGCTCAATTCTCACATGTTTACTGGGCCTAAACTACAGTTAGATCTGCAATCGGTTTTATTACGTTGGCGACAGCACAAATACGTTTACTCCGCAGACATAGCGAAAATGTATAGACAAATATTGGTCGACTCGCGAGATAGAGATTATCAACGCATCCTATGGATAGATGAAAATTCGAATATTCAAGAACATCAACTCCTTACGGTAACATACGGTACGGCTTCCGCACCGTTTTTAGCTCTTCGAGTCATTAATCAGTTAAACGATGATGAAGGAAGCTCGTTTCCACTAGCATCTGCGGTTTTAAGCGAGAACGTCTATGTGGACGACGTGCTGTTTGGGGCCGAAGATATGCCTCTCCTTAAACAGACTCGAGATCAAGTTTGCAAATTGTTGAAACGCGGTGGATTCGATCTTCGCAAATGGGCGAGTAACAAACCGGAGTTGCTCTCAGATATTTCATCGGATCATCACGGGCTCGCACAGCTTAAATTATTCGAGACTGACAACAATCTGAAGGTTCTCGGTATTTTTTGGAATCCGACGCACGATTGTTTCCAGTTTCAAATTGAATTACCACAGACTCTCCCTTCTACAAAACGAACGATTCTCTCTACCATAGCCAGAATATTCGATCCACTTGGATGGGTCACACCCGTGGTTCTCAAAGCGAAAGTTTTTATGCAGAAATTATGGCGACACAAAGTAGGCTGGGACGACAATCTCTCAGAAGATCTCCTTTTACAATGGAGCGTGATTTATAAATCACTTCCTTACATCAAAAGCATAAAACTTAGTCGCTGGATTGGATGCGATTCAGATACCAAGAGCATCGAGTTACACGGTTTCGCGGATGCTTCCCAAGTAGCTTACGCCGCAGTAGTTTTTTTGAGAGTCACAACATTATCCGGTCATACAACTGTTTCGCTCCTCGCTGGGCGATCCAAAGTCGCGCCTATCAAACCGCTGACAATCCCTCGATTAGAATTGTCAGCTGCGGTCTTATTAGCGCGCCTAATTGAATTCATCAGAAAATCTCTTCATTTCACGAAAATGCCAGTCCATTGTTGGACAGATTCGAGTATTGTGCTTGCTTGGTTAAACAAGCACCCATCTCATTGGAAAACTTTCGTCTCGCATCGCGTAACAGAGATTCAAACACGAGTATCTGATGGCATTTGGCATCATGTCAGTACACATGAAAATCCCGCTGACTGTGCATCTCGCGGTTTACTCGGCACAGAATTAAGCGCCTTCGACATTTGGTGGCGCGGACCTTCATGGTTGAGTCTTAAACAGGATGATTGGCCCACATTCACAATAACGCCGATAGACGAAACACAGTTAGAAGAAAAACCGTGTCAAGTGCATCAAGTGAACGCTAATGAACCGTGGAATCTCACTACTCGATATTCATGGTGGCCAAAATTAATACGTATTACCGCCTACATTTACCGTTTCATAAGGAAGTGTAGAAAGAAACACACAATAGGATCGAACAACAAGTCTCAATATCACGCTCTTACTACAGTTGAATTCAACGAAGCACGAAACTTCTGGCTGAACTTCATTCAGTTAGAACTATTCGAAAACGAGCTCCATAATTTAAAGTCAAACAAACCGTTGCCTACTCACAGTCCAATTCTCTCATTAAATCCGTTCCTGGATTCTGACGGTCTAATTCGCGTTGGGGGGCGATTAGAACACTCGTCATTATCTTTCCAGTCCAAGCATCCAATCTTATTAGCCAACCATACGATCACTACCATGATCATCCGTTATACGCATGTTGTATCTCTCCATGCCGGTCTTCAATCCACTCTTTCAAAACTTAGACAAGAGTTTTGGATTTTGAGAGCAAGAAGTCTAGTAAAGTCGGTTATTTATAAATGTGTTCCGTGTACAAGAGAAAAGGCTCAAGTAGCTAGTCAGCTGATGGGCCAGCTACCTACAAGTCGTGTTTCGGCGCCCTCTCGAGCGTTTCTACATAGCGGTGTCGACTACGCCGGACCAGTCTTTACACGTGCTTCAGCCGGCCGAGGAATTACCTCGCGAAAGGCCTACATAGCACTCTTTATTTGTTTAGCCACACGCGCTATTCATCTCGAACTGGTTAGTGATTACTCGACTGCTGCCTTTCTTAACGCTTTTCAAAGATTTTGTGCGCGACGTGGATTACCAGAGGTCATGTACTCGGACAATGGTACTACGTTCGCAGGAGCAGACAAGGAGTTGTCGCAAGCGTATCGAGACGCTCAAAGCGATGTTAACTTTCTCAACTTTATCGTGTCAGATAACATCACATGGAGTTTTATCCCTCCCCATGCTCCACACTTCGGTGGATTGTGGGAGGCAGGGGTCAAAAGCGTTAAATACCACCTTCGTAGGATATTAGGAAATCACACCCTCACTTTCGAGGAACTTACTACCGTGCTTTGTAAAGTTGAAGCATGCTTAAATTCAAGGCCCCTGTGCCCATTGACTGATTCGATTGACGATTTTGAAGTGCTCACTCCGGGTCACTTTTTGATTGGATCGGCAATCACAATCAATCCAGAACCTTCTGTTCTGCAAATCAATGAAAACAGACTGTCACGGTGGCAGTTGTTGCGACAGATCACGGAGCGTTTTTGGAAGCATTGGCACGCCGACTATATTAACACGCTTCAACAGCGAACTAAGTGGCGAAAGGCAAAGTCACTTATCCATATCGGTTCCATGGTTCTGATTCAAAATCCTCTTCTTCCTCCTTGCAAATGGGAACTCGGACGCGTAATCCACTGTCAACCAGGCTCTGACGGATTAATTCGAGTAGTTTCCGTCAAAACAGCGAACTCGGAATATAAGCGTCCCATAACTAAGTTATGTGTGCTTCCAATCGACGTTGATTCTGACGATTCCATCGAGGATCAACCTCGAGTGTCAAGCAATTAGCGATAATTCTAGTGTAAGTTAATTATACGATTCTAATTCTAATTACGTTATAATTTATGTAGCAAGTAAGTCAAGTTTATGTTCATTAGTTAAGTCAAAGCGTGCAAGTAAAGTCGCCAAGGCGGGCGGCGCTTGCAATCCTAAGTTTAAGGTCGTGCGAATTAGTACGAACAGCGGATACTGTTGTTTACGCGATCTGCGTTAAATGTTAAAATCCGTCCGCGATAACAACAGTGATCTTTAGAAGTCAACTTTAAGTCAATATTGTCAGCCGTTTCAGGTCTACAATTTCACTTTAGTGCGATCTGAGCGTAATCAGAAGTTACATCTCAGTATCTTATATATTGCATGGGATCAATCGTGACGAACAATCACACGCAATTAGTTTTCATTTAGCAAACCTCACTCACACGGGAGTGAACGATGCATCCTTGTGTAAGGTATACCGCGAGATCGAGTAGTTTCGAAATTCAAATTTCGAGGCGGGCGGTATGTTTAGGATTCAGAAAAATTTGCCGCGCTCGATCGAACGAAAATTCACGAACAGTCGAGAATTTAAGTGAAAGCAATTGCCGCGGGCCTAACACGGCAGCACCTCGCGGCACGCACCGCGGGAAGCGCCGCGGAAGCAAATTTTCGGCCAATTAGCGCGTTCCGCGTGTACCCCTCGCGATCAGGCGGTCGATAGCGTGATCGATGAGGGTAGCATTCCGTCGGAGACAGTCGTCGCGGAGAGAGAGCCGGCGTTGGTCGCAAGTCAGACCAAAGAATTCGCGTTACGGTGTAATAAGTGCGTGAATGTATTATCGCGACAAATACGAACAGATTTGCGCGGTATTGTGTGACATATCGAGAGTGAAGAGTTAACGGGTAATCGGATCTCGTTCGCGACGCAACATACACGTTCTCGCGACGAATTCGCCATTGTCTCGTGCATGCTACGTGCACGTGATCGAACATTACGAGTATTCGGATCCTGCTGGAGGATTCACTGCGATATTCGCGTATCGGTGAATGCATGTCGTGCATTCTCTCTCTCGCTCGTTCTCTCTCTCTCTCTCTCTCTCTCTCTCTCTCCCGCGCTCTCTCTCACAATTGTCGTAGTACGCCGTCGCGACGAACTCGCCGTCGTATTGTGCACGCTGCGTACACGTGATCGACTCCTGCGAATATTCGAATCCTTCTGGAGGATTCTGTGTGATAGTTAATTGCATATAAATGCACGTGATCGAACATTACGAATATTCGGATCCTGCTGGAGGATTGAATGTCACATAATTGAAGACAATTATTAAGTCGCGTCAAATCATATGTGCGCGTGTTCGATAAATTATAACGGTCGTCCACAAGAGGACAAATTTGTTGTTGTACGATTCGCGATCGTGACTTTCAAATAAGACATTGTTTTCTCTTGCGACAAAAAACATTGGTGTCGATATCGAACAAACAGTTTTTTCTTTTGTGATCGCGAGCTTCGAAACGTGTACAGCAAACGCTTTCGATTCTCATATCGAGTTTTTGTTCTTTTTTCTTTGATTTGTTTGTGTCAAGTCCAGGTGACTTTCTGACATGTGAAATAATAAATTGATCTGTTTTTGTTCATCAACTTCAAGACTTCTTTTCAATTCGGCTTCCTACGTAAATCATCAATCTCAGCGCACACATGGGTGCGCGATCACCCTATTAAGATACAGTCCACTCAACAATTATCCTATTGTCCATCCATCACATCTCTCATGAGATTCCTATGATTTCTTTCCAATAAAAAAAAAAAAAAAACGGGTGAAGGATTTGAGAGGCGGCGCGCGAGACGCGGCCCTAAAAAGGCCGAGCATGCTCGTTCGCCGCAGCTTCGCGTCGGACCACGGTTCAAGCCGCGCGTTCGCAACACTCATAATGTTCATGGCCTTATACATTTGCCCATAGATTGCTTGCAACATGGTCCACTTGACACTTTCAGTTGTTTTAAATATGAAAATTATTTATTTGAGATAAATAAAACAATTCAAGCTACAAGAAATCCTTTACAACAAATTTGTAATAGGTTAAAAGAACAAGAATATATGCAAAACAATGATAATGAAAAAACGTATCCAATTTTACGTCAGCAATGTACTGATCAATTTCATAAACAAGATTTTATATTCTACAAAACAGTAATCATTGAAAAGTTTGAACTAAGCACATGTGATAAAGATAATTGCGTTATGTTAAAAAACAATTGTGTATTTTGTGTCGAAAGTATTTATAAAGAAATCAAGACTTCAGAAATCTTTTTAAAGGGAAGAAAATTCATTGAATCAAAACCATTTTTCAGTTCACCTTGTTCCTCAGAATTATTTAATATTCAGCAAACACAACATTTGTCATATGATTTGTACACAGTCAATATTCACGACATTAAAGGGAAATGTGTGAAATTTCCTTACGACGATGGTTTTATCATCATGCCATTGATTCATATGCAAGAATAATATAAAATATAATATAATTGCAAATAATAGTTTAGGTATTTTTTAGTAGGTACGAGTATATCAGGAGACGCGGTAGCGTCTCGCTAAGTTATATCTTTTATTCGTCAAATTAAAATACAATCTACAAAAAAACAAAAAAAAATATCGAAAGATATCGAAAAGATAGCGAAAATATCGAAACAATAGCGAAAATTATCCGTAGGACGCTACTGTGTATCCTTTACCGGACGTAACACGATTTTCGTAACCTTGAAAACAAAAATTTGAAATATTTCATGAACGGAAACATATTTTTCAAAAGATGACCATATCAATCGAAAGCGCGATTTTTTCCGAGTAAAATGAGACCTTAAGGAACTTGATAGCTCTATTGGTTGCGGAGATATGAATTTTTCAAGTTATTTTTTGGTCGAAAAGGTGTCACTTTTTTTTAAGATACGGCGTCGTACTTGTCCCGATGACCCATCCCGACAAAGTGATTCTGTCCGAAGCTGCTTTACCTTATCCGCGGTCACCCATCCTAGTATAGTGACATTTTCCTCAGCTGCTTAACCTTTTAAGCAACCAAACAAAAAATAAATTCTTGCTCTCTCTCACTCTCTCTCTCTCTCTCTCTCCCTCTCTCACCCCTCTCTCTCCCCCCTCTTTCACCCTTTCTCTCTTGCTTTCCCACGTCTTTTTTCGCTCTCTCTCGCCCTCTCTCGCTTTCTCTCGCTGTCTCTCGCTCTCTCTTGCTCTCTACCGCTCTCTCGCGTTCTCTCGCTCTCTGCCGCTCTCTCTCGCGTTCTCTCGCTCTCTCCCACTCTCTCTTGCGTTCTCTCGCTCTCTCTCGTCGTCTCTCGCTCTCTCTCGGTTTTTTTCGCTCTTTCTCACTTTCTCTCGCTGTTTCTCGCCTTCTCTCGTTCTCTCTCGCTCTCTCGCTTTCTTCCGGTCTCTCTCGCTCTCTCCCGCTCTTTCTCGCGTTCTCTCGGCCTCTCTCGCTCTCTCTCGCTCCCTCTCGTCTTCTCTCACTCTCTCTCGGTTTTTTTCGCTTTCTCTCGCTGTTTCTCGCTCTCTCTCGTTCTCTCCCGCTCTCTCTCGCTTTCTTTCGCTTTCTCTCGCTCTCTCCCGCTTTGTATCGCTCTCTCTCGCTCTCTCTCGCCCTCTCTCGCTGTCTCTCGCTCCCTCTTGCTCTCTGCCGCTCTCTCTCGCGTTCTCTCGCTCTCTCTCGTCTTCTCTCGCTCTCTCTCGGTTTTTTTCGCTCTCTCTCGCTTTCTCACGCTGTTTCTCGCCTTCTCTCGTTCTCTCCCGTTCTCTCGCTTTCTCTCGCCCTCTCTCGCCCTCTCTCGCTCTCTCTCGCTCTCTCTTGCTCTTTCCCGCTCTCTCCCGCACTCTCTCGCGTTCTCCCGCTCTCTCTCGCTTTCTCTCGCTGTTTCTCGCCTTCTCTCGTCCTCTCCCGCTCTCTCTCGTTCTCTCTCGCTCTCTCTCGCTCTCTTTCGCTCTCTCTCGCTTTCTCCCGCTCTCTATCGCTTTTTCTCGCTCTCTATCGCCTTCTCTCGCTTTCTCTCGCTCTCTCTCTCGCTCTCTCTCGTCTTCTCTCGCTCTTTCTCGGTTTTTTTCGCTTACTCTCGCTCTCTCTCGCTTTCTTTCGCTCTCTCTCGCGTTCTTTCGCTCTCTCCCGCTTTCGCTCGCGTTCTCTCGCTTTCTCCCGCTCTCTCTCGCGTTCTCTCGCTCTCTCCCGCTCTCTCTCGCGTTCTCTCGCTCTCTCCCGCTCTCTCTCGCGTTTTCTCGCTCTCTCCCGCTCTCTCTCGCGTTCTCTTGCTCTCTCTCGTCTTCTCTCGCTCTTTCTCGGTTTTTCTCGCTCTTTCTCGCTTTCTCTCGCTGTTTCTCGCCTTCTTTTGTTCTCTCCCGCTCTCTCTCGTTCTCTTTCGCTCTCTCTCGTTTTTTTCCGCTCTCTCTCGCTCTCTCCCGCTTTCTATCGCTCTCTATCGCTCTCTCTCGCTCTCTCCCGCTTTCTATCGCTCTCTATCGCTCTCTCTCGCTCTCTCTCGCTCTCTCTTGCTCTCTCCCGCTTTCTCTCGCTCTCTCTTGCTCCCTCTTGCTCCCTCTTGCTCTCTCCCGCTCTCTCTCTTGGGTCCTCTTGCTCTCTCCCGCTCTCTCTTGGGTCCTCTTGCTCTCTCTCGTCTTCTCTCATTATAAATATAAAAAAATATACATTTATTTAATGCATTTTGTTTAATGATCTTTGCAAAAATATGTGAAATCCCACAAAAAAAGACATCACAGATGTAAAAAAAAAGCGCTAAGTTATATCTTTCGTCAGCAAAAATAGTTCTTTATAATAATAAAAAATATAATCTTCTCAAAAATTATGTTTATAGCCAAAATAATTCTTTGCAAAAATTAATCATTATCAAAAATATTTTCTCAAAAATTATATTTATAAATTATATTTTATTTTTGTTAATAATACTAGAAAAAAATTAAAATATTAGCATCAAAAAGTAGTGAAATCAAAAAATTGCGCTAAATAATTATATTGATAAT